GTTCAACGACACATATATATGCTAAAGAGATTGATGCAGAATAAAGTTTTGTATCTTTGCTATCATTTTCGATTGAAGCATTTTGAAGCCTTTTATATTCTTGTTCAATACTATCTCAGATTATTGTGTTTCGTTCTTCATCTGTTAGATCAGATCCGTTTTCTAATTGTTACATTCGAAGCCAAGATATCAAATCGACTAACATGCACTCTCTTGCACGATGCATTTGATAAAAATATTAAAAATTCAGTTAGAATGTGATTAAAATAAAGATAAGATCCGTTATGGATAGTAGAATCTTTTGGATTGATCGCAATGAATTTTTCTTTCAACAATCGAATATAGAGATTCTGTAAATGTGAGGATAGGGTGTGAACATCCTTCCTTTCGCTTGTACATCCACATCCAAAATTCCTTGTCAAAACTTGACCAACATCTATATTTGTGTCAGAAACGATATATAACAGAATTTAAAAAAATATAGCTACAATTTCGATTATATATAGATGAATAAAAATGTTCACAATAAAATTTTTTAATTTCGTATTTCATTGTTTTTATATTTTACTTGGAATTATTAAATGTACTAAAGTTCATGTTGACTTTCGCAACATTACCACGAGTAAAACAAAATAGATCTGATTGCAACTCTCGAAAAAAAAAATTCGATTTAGCTTTGACGAAAAAAAACGTCATGATGATTTTAGATGCACATGCATTTAAACGATGATTTGCACGTATGCAATTATCGCAGTATGTGTGCTAAATAAATTTAGAGGAGAATATCAAATGAGTGTTGTTTTTGTTTCTTTCATTTAACTTAGAATATGTTTTGATCAATATTGAAAATAAAATCACTTTTTATATTACATATAGTAAAACAGTTTTCAATCGAGCTCAAGTAGCATAAATGAACGATCTATTTAAGTTTAATTATAAACTCAAATGCTCCTCTCAATAGAATCGAACCAAGAAATTTATTTTTGCATTCAAATCGATGTTACAAAAGTTTGATTGAGTACACTGTAATCACAACCTCATTTCATTAGTTGATTATTCCAATATCGACGAGAATAAGAAAATTATTAGAAAAATGTATGCAAGCTTATATTCATGAATGAGATATTATTTCTTAGATAAATAGTTCGAACTCATTTCGAGCGTTTTTGATCATTATTGACCTGAATGAGAAAAGAATTGAGAATAAATGTTGAATCAATACATATATGAAAAAATAATATTCAGTCATTTGTTTTTCGTCTTATCCAGATAATATTTTAGTACTCACTAGTAAAATTCGATATCACTGTGGTTAACATTTACACCAATCTTCAGCTTGTATTTTTAGGTTGAGATAGTAGCATGTCACTTTGGAATATTTCACAAACGAAATATTCAATTGAATGCATCAATTATTACCGTTAGATTGGCACATTTTACAATAAACAATAAAGGATTTGCATTGATTTAAGATTATATAATACAAATTAATTCCGAAGAAAAAAAGAATTTACATGATAAATATATTGATTAACTTCAATTTTTTAATTCTATAAATGACCTTGACGAGAAAGAGTTGTTCTTTTTTCTTCTCGTAATAGTTTCTTTTTACTTTTGTCGGGCGACATTTCGTTAAAAGGTTTTTATTGATATTATAGCATTGCTCTTTTTCTCTTCTGTTCTTTCTCTGACGAAAAAAAAAATTGTGCACATAAAAAAAAATCACATAATTCAAAAATAAAACTGCTATTCAACTGATTAACACAAATGAGAAAGTGAAAATTGAACGTTACTAAGGTAAGAAATTAGTATATTATGGCTTCGCTAAACTTTATAATATAGTCATTTTTCGAATGTTCCATAGGGTATATTGAATTAACATTCTAATTTCTTTTCGTTACTTTTCAGTCATAAACAACTTTAACATTCGTAAAAGAAAAGAGATGTTTAATGTATTGTTTTATGGAAGGCTTATTGATGTGGAGTGCTTAACCGTAATCCGATCACGAATTTTTTTCTCTTTAGAAAAAAGACTCACAACTTATCTTTCCATTGTCCGTTCGAAATAGTTTTTAGCTGCCGAGATAGGAAAAGAACAATTATTTAATGAACACTACTCGTTAGAACGAAATCTACTGAATTTTTTTTCTCCATTCTGCATATTTCTTAATTCGATCACTCGAGTCATTTCGATAGGAGACTTCAGAAGAAAAATATATTTTTTATTTCTGTGAAGTATAATCTTCATTGAATTTTTCTTATTACAACAAAATGAAGTTTTGTGATCAAATTAGACAGCTAATCTTAATCCCGACTATGTAAACTATTTTGAATTTCTAATTTGATCATCTAATGTAAAATACATTGGTTTTAGTGAATAATAGAAAAACAGATTTTCGGAGATCAAAATATACAATCTCTTATAGTATTGTAGCATACTACTGTTTGCTGTGACATTCAATAGTTTTTACTTCAGTTTCATAGTTATGATGAAATATATCTCAAATTCTGTTTTAGCCTTGTGTCTAACATTAATTAGCAATAGTTTCAAGTTCTCGGTGTTTTTAATTGTTACGAGTATTTAAGTTTAAATTGATTAATCGTTTGAAGATTCGATTCTTTTGTGTGTCATTCATTTTTAAATCAAATAATGTTCGTATTCTAACTATATTTATAATCTTTCTCTATTTGTTAACTCACAGTTTATTTATTTCGAAGTTACCATGAGTAGTATCGATGAATCCGGACTTTTGTTTAGTTTCTAATGTTAACTGATTTTTGTTTTGAAGCTACACAACAGTTTGCTACAAATTTGATAAATTAATCTTTCAAATTGTTCAGCTTATCCGATAATTTATATTAAAATGATCTTTTTCATTAGTGTAACATCATGATAAAGAAATTACATGACAGAAACCATGAAAAATTCAACGAGCACATGAAGCAGCAATAAATAAAAAGTTTTTTCAATTTATTACTTAAAAATAGAAAGAATTGTTGCCAAATATGATTTCTTTGACAAACCTAGTAGAATCCGTAATACAGTTGAAAACGAATTTTCAAAATCAGATGAAAGGTTAATACATCATAAAGAATTGAAAAGGACCGTTTTACTTGTTACAAGAGAACCCTTAACAGTTACATCTATACGTAGATATATTCTCGAGGTGCATGATTGTAAGTGACACATTATTAAGTAGTATTGAAATGTATAAGTGCTGATATTTGTGTAGTCGGCTCTTTGTCATTCAAATCGATTCATACATGAGACATCGAAACGATGAAATTCTAGTATTAAAACCATATTAAATTCCATATGTAAAATTATTCTCTTTATCTGACAATATAAAGCCAGAGAAAATAGATTTTTTTGAGTAATTCTAACTGAAACTTTTTTTCTTAAAACAAATCTCGTTATTAATAAAAATGAAAAATAGATTACTGAAGTTTATTTTTGATCTCATTACTATCCAAAAACCAAAAATAGCAAGATAGACATGCTTCATGTCTTAAAACGATAGGCTATAATATGAAGTAGAAATATATTTTTTTATCATTTACTAAAATCAATGTATTTTATATTAGGTGATCAAATTAGAAATTCAAAATAGTTTACATAATCGAATTAAGATTAGCTGCCTAACTGAAGTCTCCTATCGAAATGACTCGAGTGATCGAATTAAGAAATGTGCAGAATGGAGAAAAAAATTCAGTAGATTTCGTTCTAACGAGTAGTGTTCATTAAAAAATTGTTTTTTTCTATCTCGGCAGCTAAAAACTATTTCGAACGAACAATGGAAAGATAAGTTGTGAGTCTTTTTTTCTAAAGAGGAAAAATTTTTGTGGTCAAATTAGGGTTAGGCACTCTACATATAATAAAAAAAAGTAGAACAGATTAAATAAACTTTCATATATTCAAAGATTTATCGTAAGTCATTATCCGAAAGTAATGAAAGACAGTGCTAATATCTAAAGTTCATTAATAGTGTATAATTAAGAGTGATCTATGATTTTTCGTTACATGAGAAAATTCGAAATAAAACTACAGGAGAAACGAAAAGCTTGTTATTTAATGAATTCACCATTTTCATATTGTCTTACCAACAGAATTTGTAATTGATACATCGGTTCAATGTTTTCATATAGATAAACTAGATTCTTACCGGTGCATATTCCTAGAGTCAGCATTGTCCTTAAAATTAAAAGTGCAAATCAAATCGTTCAAAGTGTCAAAAAATAAGCAGTCAAAAGACTTGTTAACAACTCTAAGAATGACTTCTAGTGAATATTAGTCATTAAAATTTGCATATTTATTTCGCTAGTATTTCTTTTTATATAAACTCATCATCATTCACAAAATCAATTTCGATTGTAGGAAGATCAGCAGTAATAAACTTTCCAATTTGAAAACTATTAAGTATGACTTTCAATTTCATGATATAGTATCCATTATGTAAAACCTTTTTTTTTTATTAAACAGCTTATTATACTTTTGTAAACTCTCTTGAGCTTTTTGAAAAAAAAATCAATATCGTTAATGTTCTATTATGGTAGTTATAAATTTTGTAAAATTATAGGCGGTTGTAATACAAGAGTTAAAAAAATTTTTCTGATCAGAAAAAAAAGAATACGAATTATAATAACACAAAAATGTGAGATGTTTTATTGAATTTTGATAAAGTTAATTAATATGATCTAGAACTTATTTTCATATGTATTGTTTTGAGTTTCTTACAGATCCGAAGTATAAAACCTGTTGCTACAAATGGCTTTTCAATATTTAAGGCAGTCACTGTAATTACGAGAAAACTAGACCTTGTTAATCTGAAATATTATACATCAATAAGATATTGTTCTACAAAAATTCACTCCTATTGACGCTTCAGTACACACCTTTTATTGAATAACATCATCGCATTTTTTTTTAAAACTTAAAGTCGATTATATTCTTAAATATTTCAGCAAACAAGACTTGCTCAATTTAATTGATAAACTTGCAAATGACGTCATCATCTACGCTTAAACGTAGAGTAATTAATCCAGATGGAAACATTGGTACATTCTACAATATATACAGAGACGAAGTACTCGATCAATCAGCTTCAATTGATAAATATGAAGAAATTCAAAGTTACAAACCAGTACATTGTGAGTTTATAGATGATAGCATAGAAGAATTTCAAAATCTTCTTAAATGGATTAACATTGAAGGTGATTTACGAGTAAATATCCTATTGAAATCAGAACTACGAACTGGTGTAGCCGCACTTATTGATCATCAGTATAAAATCGATAAATACACTCGTGTTATGCATTATTTTTGTGTGTATCATGAACGACGAATTCTTGACAATTCAACAGAAGCAAGAGAACATTGTAAACCAATACCAAATGATCTTCTTGCCACTCACATTATTTCTGCTGTCAGTTTCGGTATTGATGTTGTTATTGTTCTACAGGTTCCAGCTGACGATCAGACTGCTGAAAGAATCGATGTTGCACTTAAGAAAATTCAAACTCAATGGAAGAATTCCAGCGATATTTCTCATTCTATTGAAGATGATGTAAATATTCTCGAAAAAATTACTTTAACTAAAATATATTCAAATTTAATTCGAATAACAAAAATGACTTCATTTATTGAAATTTGTCAATTCATCGATAGAAATAAACAAAAAATCAATGAATATTGTCCAATAGAATACACTCTACAACCTATTGAATGGTTATATCCTGATACTATTTCATTATATCCACCATATCTTCCATTAGATAAAATTTATATTGATAAATTTGAAAAACATTTAATAGAAATTTTGAATTCTTACAAACAAATATCAGATTTACTCGAATATTATTCTAATCAGATACTTCCTGATTATCTTAAAGAATTACTTATAGAAATGGAAAGTGAATACAGAAGTTTGCAGGTATTGTATGAAAGCGGAATTCTACGATTAACAACATTGATGATGGAAATTCATAGTGGACAGGCAAACGTTGATGAAATCGATCCAGCACTTGAACACTACGATCAAACGATATTCAAAGCATATATTCAAATAATCTTGAAAAAATTGATGTTAATCAAAGAAGAAATTCAATACGTGAATAGTTCACCACAAGAAAAACTTAAATACAATCAGTTTTCTGAAACTGAAATAAATCAGCATATAATGGAACAGATGTTAGAATGTCAGATAGCTACAGAGAAACAATCAGATGACGAGATTTTTTCTAATGATCAAGTGCTTGACAACAAATAATCAATGTAACAATGTTGAAAAAAATTCATTGATCATTAAATACTGAAAATCATTTGCTTTTTTTTGTATCAATTTTTCAAATTTGTTGAGAAAAGATTGCTTTTGATTATTTTATTTATATCTAAAAATCTATTAAATAAAATTCTTTTTTTTTTTTGTTCGAAGTTTATTTTAGATATCTAACAATAGGATTTCTAAGGCAAAATTCAAAATGCTACAAAATTTAGCTTAATTGAAAAGAGAAATCGAAATTTATATATTTAGATGTTGACTCAAATTTCAGATATTAATTTTAAATAGAAATATTTTTTTACACATTAATATTTCTATCTAATTATAAGAAAAACACTAATGAACGAAAAGGGTAAAAAGGTATTATCGAAATTTTAAAAAAAGGCCATCGGACAAAATGCTTATAACTTTTGAACGAAGATAACTAGAGCTCTGCGGTTTTCACCATTCGAAAGGGGAGACAATGGGACGTCTTTTTCTCCAATATCGTATAGGACGAAATCATTTAAAAATCAGTCATGTCTACAAAACATTAAAAAAAATGTATAAAAAACGGTCTGCCATTCAGATGAAATTTTGACGAAAAGTAAGAAAATACGCTTAAAAATTAAAAGAACTCGATAGTTTTCGTGCAATTGAATAGACAAGTTTATTTGTTCAACATTAGGAGGTGGAAAGATAATCATTTGAATTACATCTTGAGCTATACATCGGAAGTTCCTCACTCTAGATCAGATGTCAGAACTAAAACTTCATTAGAATGACAGATCGTTTTCATGAATTTATTCGATGTTTTGTAGAAGTGACTCATTTTTAAATGATTTCGTCCTATACAATATTGAAGAAAAAGGCGTCTCCTTGTCTCCTCTTTCGAATGGTGAAAACCGCAGGGCTCTAGCTATCTTCGTTCAAAGGTTATTAGCATTTTGCCCGATGGCCTTTTTTTAAAATTCCGATAATAGATCGTTCAGAATGAGACAGAAAGAAGAATATAATGTGGCAATATTGTGCAAAGATTTGTACACGTTGATGAAAAATTATGAGTAATCTAATTAGCCGAACTATAAGAAATTCGATGTAATAGATTTTACATCGTTGTCAAGAATTAAAGACTATACCTAGAAATGATTTGACTTTTAATTGAAATTTATATTGGAAAAATTCTTGTAAATCATAAGATAGAATATAATAAACAAGAAACGAGAACATCTGCTAGTTTTTGTTCGCTTATAATCGATGAAATACTATTTTCTTTCTGCTAGAATTTAATTAGAAAAAATATTTACATAAGTCGATATTCAATATCTTATTATTTATGATGTGATCGTATTTATACTACATTAAAATCCAAATAATCGAAACATTTTTATATTTTCTTTTTTTATTTTATGCAAAGGATAATATACAATCACATACGTCTTTAGTACGCAATACAGAATGTCCTCTTTTGTATATTAAAGGCTGTATATAATTTTGATAGAATGATAATTCTGTGTGTGCCTAGATGATCTCAATCCAATTTCAGTTGAAAAGATAAAATTTATTACGCAAATATAATTATGCTAGAAGGTAATATATTCATCAAAATGATTAAGTTCTATAGTGTTTAGTCTGAAACATGTATTATTCCAATGAAATAATTGACGAAGAAGACCAAGAAATAATTCAATTGAGTAAGAAAGTATTATATTCTTTTATTAGTTTGATAACTATATTAAAATAAATCAAATTTTTCTATATAATGTGTAGTATCGTTAAATTTAATCGTACAAAATATTTCAATCGAATAAAACATATTAAAAATCCTTACTATGATTTCATTTATGATATTCGACTTTTAAAAGATTTCTAATTTCGTCATAAATCAATTTCTTTTTTCTTAGAATCTTTCGACAAATTTAAACAACAACACAATTTTAAAAATCATTTACATGGATCTATGACAAAATTATTCAAAAAAAGAAAAAGAACCAAAATAAGGCATGTTAAAGTTTTTAGTCACTTAATATCTTGAAATCTTGACTAATCTTAAATTGTAACTAATATTTGATGTCATTTTTTTGTCTTTTCACATAAACTTGATCTAGTATAATCTTTAAATAAAACATTTAAACTTTATTACAAATAATAATAGGAAGTTTTGTATGATTTTTCTTTTTGATTATTAAATTTTGTGCCAATAAACTATAATATATATATCTATATATATAATGAGCGATGCAAAAGTCTTTGGAGGAATGTCAAACCCTGTTAGACCATATTGCCAACTTCTGAATCAATCAAATTTTTTTTTATTAGAAAGAGCAATGTCTGAACTATAAATTTTGTATCAGACATATTGTTCCAAAACGAATCTGAGATGGAAGAAAAGCCAAAAACTAAACACCTCTAAAAAAGTTTTTGCAACTTCACCATCGAACAACATAATTTTCTATGTTCTGTTAGTTTTTTTCGAATTGGAAGAGAAATAAGAAAGCATGTTCGTTGATGATTTTTGTATTACAAAGAGTGCTCTTTCTAATGGTGTATTGAAAGTTAAATTTATTTCTGATCTTTATGTCAATAAAAAGCTTTTTCTGGAAGAGACTGAGTATTTTGGTGGTTTTCACTACTTCACTGTGTTACAACGATAAAAAATACTTTTTGAATATATTTTTTTCTTCTAAAATTCTACGATTAGATATATTTCGACCGAACAACACGAAAAGAATTCAGTTCATGCATGATTTATGAAGATGATGGCTAAAATTTTTGTAAACTGATGGTTCTTGCAAAAGGTTCAGTTTTTCAAAAATTTCTCAAAACTGATATCGATAGATTTTTTGATACGCTACATATTGGTGTATTTCTTCTTCAAAATTGATCCATGTAGCTTCAAATAATTGTGAAATACAGATTTTTCAAGTTGCAAAAGCGTTGCAAGAAGTTTTTTACGTGTGTTTGATTTTTAGCTTTTCTTCCGTCTCAGATTCGTTCCGGGAAAATATGTCTGATACAAAATTTGTTGTTCAGACATTGCTCTTTCTAATAAAAAAAAAATTTGATTGATTCAGAAGTTGGCAATATGGTCTAACAGGGTTTGACATTCTTCCAAAGACTTTTGCATCGCTCATTACATCTAAGATTAATGAAAGTCATGTAAAACTTTGATAGGTTATTGAATTAACTGAAAACATTGAATTTAAATGAACCAAAAAACTAGGAAAGTAGTGTTTCGATATTCACGTGATCATATATTTTCAAATAGATTTTTTCTGTTATACGTTTAAACATATTTGAATCATATATATATTCAAAATATATCTATAATAAAGGATTATTACATATTGATATTTGTATATAGATTGATGTATAATTGACTAATTCATAAGGATTTTTGCGTATCTCCGCTAGATATTAACTAATTAAATTAAAATTCTTATTAGTAATAGAAGTTGATTGAAAAAATATTTACATATTGATCTATATGAGTCTCTAAAATATGTCTTTAAATGTAGAAAAAAGTCTATCATCAATATTAATTTTCTATTCTGAATATAAGAAGTCAACAATAATGAGAGCAAAAATTTCGTAATGATACTTTGACATAATTCTAGTGCATCTACAATTATAAATCTCAAATTGATGTAGATTTTATTCGATCAAAATATTATTTATTAATATTTCTCTTCGAAAAATAAATTCTTATTATTCACAATAATTTTAATGCAATTAATTGACATCTAGTGGATCTATTTGTTTGATTTTTCTTATTATTGTACTATTTGTTTCATCTGGTATCTTTATATATATATTATAGATAATTTTACATGTAAACTTTATTCAATTATTGTCAAAATTTTTTAGAGATGACAGGTAATTTGTTAATTGAGAAAAAGAACTTAATAACAAAACTAATTCATCGGGCAAGAAATTAACTTGAAGAATCAAAAAAAGAAAATGCGAACAAAAACAAAAAAAAAAACAAATAACAATATGTTTGTTCAATGAGAAAAAAACAACCAATGGAGAATAAGATGACTGGAGAGTGTTTTTATATCTGTCCTTTTTTTTTGTATATATTTGTAATATCAAGAGATTATCTGATTATATT